CTTTTGCTATTGCTAAGTGAGAGAGTTCTTTAAGTTTTTCAATGCTCGATCTCATCTCACAGCAGTCAGGCTCTAATTTATCATCAGAGGAACTCAAAGTGCTTCTTGTGGGGTCCTCTGGAGCTTGGGCTAGAAAGCAAGAAGTGCTGATTGAATATTCTGTTTGCTCGGATATATTCTCCTCTTTGGTGTGGATAATTGTAGGGTCCTCCTGGTTCTGTGACTTTTCAGTTTTTATACAGGACCTCTGATTATCCAAACATGATGAAGTTTTCAAAACTGCTGTGGCTGATGATGGATGAATCCGTTCAGGTAGGCTGTCAGTACCTGACTCTATTGTTTGATTTGTAGTGACTAAAAGTTCTGGTCCTTGTTGAGGAAATAAACACAGACTTTGGCAAGGATCATCCTGGATAGAGCATTCAGTCAAAGCTAATGTGACTGTGAGTGTGCACACTCTTGAAACCTGCCTGGATATAACTTTTGGAGGGGTTGTTTCGGTAAATGTGATGTCTCTTGGGTATTCTCTGGTACTTCTGGTACAATAATTTTGATTGTAAGACGCTTCTGCGTTTTTAACATGTTTACTCTCAGTTGGCTCAGGAAGAGGTTTTTTGGTTGGGTTTACTGCAAGTTGCGAGTTCTGTTCTGTTGATTCTTTGCAGACGCCAACATTAATATCATCTACTGTCTGTTTTGTAGATATGCAAGACTCTGGCCAAATGTCTGTGGTCTCAGGTGCTGTGACCGCTCTTTGACTCTCATCCTCTAGTTTCCTAAATGACCTATCTAAAGCTTTAGGAAAGAAGTCTTTTCTCCCTATTTCCATGTTTTTAAAAACCTGATGATAAAGTGGGGCTACAATGGTCCCAAATGTGAAGCCATGGGAGTACAGCTGAGGCTCTGAATTAGTTTTCAAACTCACATCCTCTTTTGGTTTCCCATCGCTAATATTCATGTCCTCATGCATCTTAGAGCTTAGTGCCAAAATTTTAATTCTTTGCTTAGCATCCTTCTCAAATTCCTTCCACGCTTTTTCAACATTCTTGCTAATAGACAAGTCAGGATTTTGACATACAGGAACAGCCTGATTGATTGAAACTGTTTGGTCAGTAATGCACTCGGTATGTTGGATGTCTTCCAAGACCTCAGAAGCCGAACATGCAATTGATTCATCACAACTGATGGAGTCTTCCAGGGGTAAATTTGTGTTTGCTGTGGATAAATTAGTCTTGGAGTGGATTATGTTGTCTTCTTCATCTTGTGTTATAGCTTGGCTGACGATGTCAGTGGAATCTCCACTATACTCAGCAGATTTAAGGGACTCAGCTGGAGAGGGTGATATTTGGTTACACGTTGGTGGTCGAGCAGTTTGTTGTGATAGGGAACTGCATGGTGTCTTCTTCAGCAATGATGCATGTTCCTGCATGCTGGTGTCTGCTGTACCTTCAGTTTCTTTGGTCTTGGTCCCTTGTTTCTTTTCTTCTTCCCTCTTAGCAAAGTGTTCCTTGACTTTTGCTAATCGCGCAGCCTTTCTTCTGCTTCTTCGGCCGCGGTTTCTGTTCATTTCCTCCTGTTTCCAAAGAGATAGATGTGAAAAATACTGAATGAAATGCTGTCTTCAGTAAATACAATTTAAAGAATAACTTTTCTTAAGATCTTATCGAAATACCTTTTTAACTTTTAATATAGGTTTAGTTAAGACATTGGGTCTCATTCACTAATAATTGTGTAGATTATTCGCATTTATACACACATTCGAACTTCTCACGAAAACTCTAAATGAGCCGCCGCGTGCACAAAGTTAGTAATTTGCATAAAACACGCCCAGACCATCTCCATACAAGGACTTGTACACAATACGCATGCTTAGTGAATGAGGCTCATTGACTTTTTTTTACTTTTAACAACATAACTTGATGGTCTCAGAGCGACCCTGAACAACATGACCTATCAAGTGTCTTGTTTGGGACAGTACATAGTGTAATGTTACACTAACACCTGTCAAAGCCTAACATCAGTAACCGCATGACATTCAGAGAGAGTAGCCAGTGACATAGCACAATTTATAAAATAGTTTTCACTATATAATTTTATACTAAAAATGCATTGTTTCATTAAAACACACAATTAGTTGATATAGTGGTTGAATCTTTGGTAAAATTTAGAACTCACCACTAATTCCTTGCTTTCAAGTTTCTCAGAGTTTTCCTTTAGAGATCCAGAATTTAGATTTATATCTGAAGAAACAAAACATGTATTTATCAGAATTTCATAGTATTTCCAAATCTAATTGTAAGTAATTTTCAGGAGGACAATTACCAGGAAATTCTTCATTGTGTGTTGCTGAAACAGTTGAAGCAGAGACATTTAGACTGGAAAATTATACCATTATAAAATTAAGAATTGGGCAAAAGGCAGTATGTATATTGTTGCATAATTCATTGAGTTCCACTTTAGTATTGTGGTTTTAAGCATATATTCACTCTGGCATGTCACTTACATTTAAAAAACTGTATCAATTGTTAACAAGTCTTTTAGTATGCATTATTTATAAATTTGATAAAAGTTTTATTCATATTAATATTTTAGAAATATTTATTTTGACATTCATTGCTATTTATGCAACAGATGTGTTGGTGACCTCTCACCTGGTTGTTTTCAGACAGCTTTTTCTTCTGTTTTCACTCTCATTTTGGGGTTTCTCCTTCATTTTTTCACAACAAAACAGACAGTAGTTCTTTTCATTATTGTTTGCCCAAAAAGTGCCTAAAGATGTTTCATATCGCAAACAGAAGTCGACCCTAGCGCCCTCTTCTCCAAATGGGGGTACTAGTGTGAGTTTGAAGGAGAAACAGTCCGCCCCACCATTGTTTGACCCAGGTACGTACTCTGCCAACAGATCAAAATGACTTTTCCAGGAATCTAAAGAGGTACGCACATAGACCATCTTATCAAAACTAATATTCAGCACACGAACGATTCCTCTTAGGGTGGTGGTCCCAGAAAGCAACTCCAAACTCTCCAGTTCTAGCTTCTGCTCGTGAACCCGCAAGGCTAGTTCCTCAGAGGTCTGTGGAAGAGTGAAGAGAGGAACCATGTAATACTCCTTATCTTCATTCAAGTCAATCTCCAGAGAGCCTGATGGGTCAGTTACTCCCCAAGCATCAAACTGTTTCACTGAGACAAGACTCAAACCAAAGGCATCGGCAAAGGACACTCTTCGGCTGCTGGAAGGGGGAGGCAGGGAGTCATCGGAGGACGCTGAACTCCGTCGTCTCGGTATGGGTGAAGATTTAGGCTTGATTCCTTCCAGACCCAGTGACTCCTCATCCTCATCACAGGGGCAGGATGCCGGCAAGCTCAGTAGGTTGAAGCTGGCCCCAGTGGGGCTGCATATCACTCCCACAGACTCCATCAGTGGCACAGAGTGAGAGGAACTCAGCCGGTCAGCCAGCAACTGACGTGCTGTGACTTAACTTATAGAATCAAGTTACATTTGACATTGTGGGGAAAAGCCAACTCTATATTTAGGGCAGAAACCACTTGAGCTATGCGGTCAGAGCTCAGGGGACCCATGAAAAAAATATGTTAGAGGCACGCTTCAAACAACATAACATTGTTATGCATACAAAGACACAGCAAATATACAGTGGGTACGGAAAGTATTCAGACCCCCTTAAATTGTCTTTAACGAGATGATTAAAGGGATAGTTCACACAAAAATGTAAATCCTGTCATCACTACTGATTACTCACTTTACTCGCCTTGATGTCGTTCCTGTTTTCTTGTAAAATAAAGGAAGATATTTGAGGGTAAGTAAATGATGACAGAATTTAAATTTTGGGTGATCTCTTTAATCATTTACATCAGTCGTGCATATGCTAAATAGTTTCAGCATGTTAAAAAAAAGCACATGCTTTTTCTGTGTATGTTTTAAAGGCTTGGATTTGTGGTCATTTATAAATATATTTATAATTTCTCTATGTTTATACAAGCAATTTTCATATAATAAAAAGTCTTATTTATTACCAAACTCGGTCAACCATATTTGTAAGAGATTTATATTTTGTAACAGAAAAAGGAAGCTTCGGTTGCACATGAAAACCACAACTTTCAGCTGCTTTAAAATACCTTTATTAAACTACTTGGACACAAAAGATACAGTGAAGGAAAAGTATAATCAACAATATTTCTCTCTTGCAAACCACTTGAGATCCAACAAGATTCTTGCCACTAGACAAGCAAATATCCCTGTCTTTCTTTGCCTTATTTGCCAAAGCTTTACTCTCTTTTACATGACCTCCATCTAGAGGCACATTGAGGGATTTTTCCTTACTTCAAGATTGAAGGACAGAAGATGTTCTCTCTATAATTCTTACCTTTTACCCATTTACTGGACTTAAAGTGAGTCATTTCCCATTTTATAATGTCAGTTTGTGTTTCCAATTTTCATGTGCAATGTTAAGTTCAGTGTTTTAAGAATAATGTCATCTGTGTAATTCGTAGCAAAAACAGTGGTTTTGCCCTGTCAGGTTTTATGTTTTTGAAGTAAATACAGTGTTTTATTAGAGAACTATGCAAGGGTCTAAATAACATACTTGTAGCATGCTATGTTAATTTATTGCATTTTATTTTACCTTTATGTATTTATTTATTTTGTGGAAGTTTTAGTGGTAATGTATGTTGTATACAACCAGAATGGATACCTTTTCTAAAATGGTTAGCAGTACAATAGCAAGAGGAAAAAGTGCTATAGTTCACTTTATATTTGTACACTCTGACCCTTAATGGTCAAGCCAGTAATATCATGTGTTGGTGAAAAGCAGGATGAATGAGATCCCCGCTGAGTCAAATCTGTGGGTTTCTGCCCACAGATCCATCGGTTTTCTTTTAAATGATGAGTTACATTGAGACTTAATACCTAAAAACAAACCAAAACACAAAGCAGGTGTTAAATGTTTCACACAACACATCTATAAATGCAATAATTTAATTCATCACCTGTAGAAACTGGGTTTGAAGGGGCCGTATTTACTCAAGCCCATGTATTTGGCTTGTTCATCGGTGAGCTCAGTCAGGTGTGCGTCAAAGGTCTGCAGGTGCAGGCTTGCAACATACTCATCTGGTACACAAAATACTCAATCAGTTTGTGATGTCATTTTTATCCAAATATGATTCGGTACATTATGAAATATGGATGAAAAATATTGAATTCTGGCAGTCCATTGCGTTGTTACCCAGTTTCTTTGGAAGGAGATAGACATCTTGCTTGTAACGGCCCTCAGGGGCATTGAAGAGCTCGATCAATGCCAAAGCCTTCAAAAAGTATACAGAAGGCTAAACATGGAAACTAATTTGAAGAGACAACCTATCCATTCACTATCCACAAAACAGTTTCAAACCCAACTATAGCCCAAGGCTGGCATGCTTCCCATTTACATTGTGTCATACTAAATGCAAATGTTCTTTTAAAAGTTTTATTGCTATGCCCAGTTAGTCTTTAATATTTAGGCTACGTAAAAGAAAAACTTTAGCCTTTAGGCTACCAACTTAAAACCTAATTTAAGTTCATGTATTAGCAAACTGCTTTCATACCTGTGCGGTGGCTGTGATGGAAAGCACGTATGTGGGTACAGTGGAGGAGCTTAGATTAAGGACACGGCCCTAGAATCAAATGGTAAAACAGTAACTATGCCATTAACATTAATGACCAATATGCCATGAGGTTTGTAATAAGGAAATGTAGATTATAGCTTAACATGGTTTACACAAGGACATGCTCTTAAGATCCACTGCTTTGTAGCACAAATTGTTCCCAACGTGCTGAAAAATAAGGTAAATATGTTTCTGTTTTATATTTTTAGTAGTATTCTGTATTCTCTCACCTCTGCAAGTAGTACTATTCTCTTGCCACCAGGCCAAATAATGTGATCCACTTGCGCTCTCACATGCTGCCATACTAACTCTGGGGTTCTTAGACTGCTCTGAAAATTCAAAAGTTAACACAAATGACAACCAATTAAATTACAAGCATTCAATTGCTATCACTAATCGTGTGTTTTATCGCGTCCTACAGCCACTTACAACATCGATTTCTGTATTAGAGCGTCCCATGTTGCAGACAACGCAGCCATTCTTCATTAGGTCCATGTGTTCCCTCACTACAACGTTTTTGTTACCTGTGTAGACAAAGGGTCAGCTGTCAAAGCAAACAGTGTAAGGTAATATCACAGCAAAGACTTGTGATTTATTTATGATATTATTGCGCAACTTGCCTGTGCAGGTGATGACCATGTCCACTTGTCTGACAACATCACCTAGTTTGGCCAATCGAAAGCCATCCATGCTAGTTGAAATACAGTTGGTTGTCAGGGGTGATACTGTGGAAAATATAACTCTCTGGATAGTTTCTTTCAAATAACTAATATCTTACCATGCTTGTAGAGCACAGATGGGGTCGATTTCGGTTACATACACAACAGACCCCATTGCTTTCAGAGCTTCAGAACAACCTTTTCCCACCTGTGGGCACCAATATTTACACTTACGCACACAAAACAGAGGCCAGTACTAAACTATTGCAGGTGATGGACACCGCTCTCAAGTGGCATATTGACAATAGAAACCATCATTTATTGGAATCAGGAGACGTACCTCTCCATATCCACATACGACCACCTGCTTTCCCCCAAACATGATATCAGCCGTCTTTTTCAGACTGAGAGAATAGGAACAAGACAGAAAGTAAGTAGGTTTAATCATATAAATACTGTGAATTTATTGGAGAAACACTTGTATCGTTATCTTACCTATCCAGAATGGACTCCCTGCAGCAGTAGAGATTGTCAAACTTTTGTTTAGTGACCGAGTCATTCACATTTATGGCTGGCACACATAGTTTTCCAGCTTTAGAGAGGTGATGAAGTCTGGTAAATGTGATGCGAAAACATTTGCAAAGCTGTAAGTTTCAATTCAAGTGTCAATTCAATGTAGTCATCTCTCAACCAAATGTGACAAATAACGAGGATTAGAAAGTGACTCAACCTGTGAATGCCTGTGATACTTTCTTCAACAATACCCTTGACTTTCTTGAAGAGGTGAGGATATTTCTTGTATATCCAATGTGTCATATCTCCTCCATCATCGAGGATCTAGAAAAGACCATTAACAAACTTCTATTTACAGGTGAAAACACAAGATAAGAGACACTATTGATCCTTGGAGGGAAAGTGGTCCCATATCACTGAAGGCACTTGTACCATATTTGGCTCCCAGCCCTCCACATTTACACAGCGATCAATACACCACCAGAAGTCATCCTCAGATTCTCCCTTCCATGCAAACACTGGAAAATCTGCCATGAATAGCAGAGGGCAAGACACGGGAGAAATCAAAGAAGGTAAATAATCACATGCTCAAAAAAAAAAAGTATGACAATTAGACGGAGAGTTTCTTTTACCTTGCTCTGCTAAAGCAGCAGCCACTTCATCCTGAGTGGAGTAAATATTGCAGGCTGCCCACCTACACTGAGCCCCTAATACCATCAGAGTCTCAAACAGCACCTGTTTAGGGAAAAGTATATACTGTATATATATAAAAAAAAAATCTTGCTGATCCCAAACAGTACAACAGTAGTTTGAACAGTACTTATATTTATTATTTATCTATTTTTGTATTATATAATCAGCTGAGGTAGGGGGATATGGGACGTGTTGGGGGGTTTCATGTTTCATTGGTGCTGTCGACCTTGAAAAACAGGTTTTGTAGGTTTTGTTTCTGTATGAGTTTTTTTTTTCTTTTAGCATGATACAGTATACATTTAAAATGCCGTGAAGGGATGACACTTACAGCTGTCTGGGCCGTGACATGAGTGCATCCCACTATTTTAGCCCCTGCCAATGGTTTCTCAACCTGGGTAGCTTTTCTCAAGGCCATTAGTGCAGTCATCTCTTTAATTAATAAAAATATGCATACATTTATTGAATTTCTTTTTGAATATTGTACAATGCTTATGTGTTTTAAACCATACTGTATGCCTACCATCCTCTGCAAGTTCTATCTCTCGACGGCCAAAGTCTGCCAGTTTGATGTTTTTGATGCAGAAGTCCCTGCTCCCTTTAGAGTTAATCTGTTGCATGTCTCGAGGAGAGACCTCATCTTCTGGATTTTCTGCATCTGAACCCCCTGAAAAATGAGAAATGAAACGTGAAAGTAAAATGGGATCAAAGATTGCGATGAAAATACAAAGAACTACCAATAATATACATTTTCCAGTTTGAGGGAATTTGTGTGGCATCTACCTGAGCTGTTGCTGTCTGTAGAGGAATGAGAAATGGAATGGGACAGGGAGCGGCGTCCCGTCTTTGTTAATCGACTGTCAAATTCTCGTGTCTGCTCAGGATACTGGATTTGCTAAGGAAAAAACTATTATATTTTGTTGTATATTTAATATAAAATCTATTTAAAATGCCTCAAATATGTATTTTATATAAAAATGCATTTGATATAATTTTGTATGTAGTTTTCGATTTATACAAATGCATTGCTCCAAAACATTTTAATTTCTCAGAATAGTTTTCAACCTTTTATCTAATTACACATCTTGACATTTGAACGCGAATGCAACCATTTCCTGCAGAAAACCAAAATCTTAAACTGATTTCTCAAAATAATAGAATAATTATAACCCCTTTATTCTAAAAGTAGACTCATATCTAATGGTAGAAATATTAAAATAGTGTTAGGACACAATAAATACACAGAAACATATACGTTTCAGATACAGACAAGAGATCTAAGAGACCAAATAAGCAGTAACTATCACTTGCTCACTAACACACAATAAACAAATAACGAAAGAAAACTTGAAATTAAAAATGGCATCATAATTATGAGTTTGTTTGTTAGGGTTAGCACTAGTAGTCCCATTGTATTATCTGCCAGCAAAAATGTGATTATATTTCAAAGTGCTGATACTGCTTAACTATATTAGCAAGTAATGAATAAAAATTTACTTGAGCACCAGGTAATATAAATAAGGTAAATAAAAATAGAAATACAATCTACTCTGGGGTTAGAAATGAAATTTGTATAGTCATTTTCAATAAACCAACATAACATAACACCACTCAGGACAAAATGACTAAATTAATGAATATAAACTTCTACCAAAACCCACAAGAGGGAACAATATCTGTTTCAGTGCTTCATATTTAAATCTTATGACCTAGTTCTAAGAAAAAGCAGCTTTTCTGGAAATACCTTGATGTTAAGAGATAACACGGCATCTTTTGATTCCCTGTTTTTAGTGAGACTAACCAGGCTGTAGACTTTCCTCATGGTGTCTGATCCTCTTGAGAAAAGCTTAGAATAACTCCCACGTAAGCATTTAAAGGCTGAACCACAACAGTAATTATGTTAAATGAGCAGGCTAGAGAAGCATGGGTCCACTGTCAGATGAAATCCTACACTGTGAGACCAAAGCCTGTACAATAAATTCAGAGCTCTCTGTCCACTTACGTGATTCGACAATGATTAAAGTCTGTGAGGTCACAAAAGTTCCCGCAAGTCATCTATTAATTCTGGCCCAGTGCCACTGAGCTGCTACTGTGTGGTTTTAAGGGCACTGGTCTGTGTTCAGCCCACGTCTCTGTTCAGGGTTGTTAATGATGATCAAGAACAGGTTATTCGGTTACACGTCATTTAGCAGGCATGTTGTATCCAAAATTATTTGCTGTTCTCTTACTAAAGGGACAGTCCCTTGGAGCAACCTGGGGTCAAGTGCCTTGTTCAAGGGCAAAATGGAGGCAAGGCAACTCAAGGCTTATGCTTCTAAGGGTTTAAACCCAGAACATTTAATTAACCACACCAGAAACTGTATTTACCCCTACCATATGTGGTATAAAGAAGCCAGTTTGCTTCTCACAGAGACAGTCCCCTTGCCACAACCTGGGGTCAGTGTTTAAAGACACAGTGGAGGTAAGGAAACTCAATGGCTTTTTGGTGTTTAAACCGGGTGTGCCTCACACGTCCTGAAAAGTGAAGCTGCAGGCTCTTTGATCGCCCCCTGGTGGCTGGCTGCAGTACAGGTCATAAACCCCGCCCTCTCCATGTAAACGAATGGGACTTGAGTCAAAATAAAAAAATTAATTACCCTTCCAATACAATTTTCAGAAATAAAAATCTCACGACACTACTGCGCAGACTCTGGCTCCAAACGAATCTCTACTGCGCAGACTCTGGCTCCAAACGAATCTCTACTGCGCAGACTCTGGCTCCAAACGAATATCTACTGCGCAGACTCTGGCTCCAAACTAATCTTTACTGCGCAGACTCTGGCTCCAAACGAATCTTTACTGCGCAGACTCTGGCTCCAAATGGCCTCATTTACTCAAGATGGCAGCGGCCATACTGAGATGCTTTGGCTTCACTTTTATATAGTGGAAGGAATAGGAGATGCGTCGTCCATCTTTTTTTACAGTCTATGGTTTAAACCCAGTGCATTTACTTAGGTTACTACACCCAGATGTGTACTCTTAACCCATCTTGTAAAAAAAACAACCATTGACCAGCACAGACATTTATCCCTTTTTAAATCTGGTATAAAACAGGAATTTGACAGTTCTGTTGCTTTAGAGACTTTCCCATTGAAGTAACTGGGGATCAAGCACTTTGTTCAGGTCAGAATTCAAATTAATGGCTCTCCATTTCCAAGGCTTGACCTCAGCACTTCTGTGAACTCCAATGACCAGCAGAGACATTTAGCCCTTTCTGAATCTGGCATAAAACAGGACATTGACAGCTCTGATGCTTTAGGGACGTTCCTGTTAAAGCAAACTGTGATCGAGCATTTTGTTCAAGTACAAATTGCTGGTAAAGAACCTACACCACTCTCAGATTCATGGGTCTCTGTTTCATCTCCAGTACAAACATTTAACCCCTTCTGAATTTGGTATAAAACAGGACATTGACAATTCTGATGCTATAGGGAAATGCCTGTTCAAGCATCCTGGGATCAAACACTTTGTTCAAGGACAATTGGTGGTAAAGAACCTACACAACTCCCAGATTCATGGGTCTCTGTTTCATGTTCAGCACAGACATTTAACCCCTTCTGAATTTGGTATAAATCAAGAAAATGGACAGTTCGGTTGCTAACAGGACATTCTCATCGAAGCAACTGATCAAGTGCCTTGTTCAAATGGTAAAGAAGCTAAACAACTCCGATTCCTGGTTCTCCCTTTCCAAGGTTTGACCTCAGCACTTCTATGACCTCCAATGAGCAGAACAGACATGTAAACCCTTTCAGAATCTGGTATAAAACAGGAAATTGACAGCTCTATCGCTATAGGGACATTCCTGTTGAAAGAACGAGGGATCAAGTACATTGCTCAAGGACAAATGGTGGTAAAGAACCCAAACAACTCGTGATTCTTCCTTTCCTAAGTTTACATTACTTTTGTGATGCAAGGCAAGGTTTGAAACAGGAACACACTGAACACAGTAATATTACAAATATGGGAGACTTATAGAATTAGTTAATTGCATTTATGTCTTACATTTTGCCTGTTATTACATTATAATGCATAACACTAAACTATACTTTAATATCCATTGTATATTCAGCTTCAGTAGCACTTACTCTTTTTGTTCTTGGTGCTTCACTGACGACTCCATCATTTTCATCGAACACTTCCTCGCTGTTCTGCATTTTTACGAGGACAGGTCGCCGGTTGTTTGCTGCTTCCAGCATTCTCAGTAACTTGGAGCTAATCGTTGGTGGTTGTGAGGAATCTCCATTTCCAGCTGTTTCCAGAGCAGAAGAAATGGCAGCTTCATCATTATGGCTACTATCTTCCATGCTATTGTTGTCTTCCATTGGTGGAGTTGCTGACCGAATCTCTGGTTTGCTGTTGAGCCTGCTGTCCATTTTAATGTCTTTAGTTGAGTGTTGAAGTTACAGACAGTTGCTCTTTTGAACAGATGTGGGTCTTAAAGGTGTATAAACATTGCCTTCATGTTAACTGCTTGTGGAAACAGTGTGAATGGCATGGAGGTAGAGGAGGGGTATTACAGTTATTTGTAATTTGTTTGGTACTATTTGGTACTACAAGTAAGGTGTACATTTTCCAAACTCTTAGTACAAAATTTAAACTGATCACACTTGTAACACCACTAGTCATTCTTTCAAAACCTGATCTCATGATTTCATTGTAGTTGCGCATATTTTCATTCCACATAATCATTGTTTCAAAACACAAGATCATTGTGATATGTATTGAGAACATTTGAATGAATCACCAAAACACAACAGTATGATCTTCTTTCAATTTAGTACTTTTAACAATCAGTTCATTCAAGAGCAAACAATGCAAGATTCATGTTTCAAATCACCTTTGTCCCTGAAATAATTACAGTAATGCAGGCAATAACTGTCATGTTAGAAAATACACTTACATTACCTTGCAACTTGCATATCTCACATAAAATCAATAATGTTTGTAAAAGTATTTATCCAGTGTGTTATCAAAAGGTGTGATGAAGGCATGACATGGCCATAAGGTTTTGTGCTAGAACAGAGTTTGCTGTCAATGCAGTAAATGTCCTCACTGTGCCATATGACTGAATCTATATTCTAGCTGAAATTTTGAGATGAAGGGTGAGTTATAGTAATGTGCAGTCTTCACATAATGATTCTATATACAGTATCACATGGCATAATGTAATGTAAAATGCTGTATTTGATGCCATCTGTCTCCCTTCTTCTGATACATCTCTGATCAATCTCTTGCAATTTAATAGCAAAAAGCAATTTAAAAAAAACTAAGTACCATTGGGCTTGGTTTACTACTGTTTGATACTGTTATGTTGTTCTTACATTAGTCTTCTTGGCTGAAAATGCTGTTCTTTTGAATGTCTTTTTATAAAAAAAGGGGTCGCTGTTTATATTAAATATTAAGCAGAACAACTGTTTTTAATATTGGTAATAATAGGAAATGTTTCTTGAGCGGCAAATCAGCTTATTAGGATGATTTCTGAAGGATCATGTGACACTGAAGACTGGAGTAATGATGCTGAAAATTCAGGTCTGCCATCACAGGAATAAATAACATTTTATAATAGTACTTTGAGTTAACTGGGACATTTTTCTCAATCATCTGAATGGCAAAATGTATCCCAATTTATCTGAATTCACCCCTACAGCTATTTTAAATTGTAATAATATTTCACTGTATAACTATTTTAGTGTATTTTGAGCAAATTATTTTTTTCGGTGCGTATAAGAGACTTCTTTCCAAAACATTTAAAAAAAAACGTTCAAACTTTTGAATGGTAGTTCAAGTAAGCAACGAGTTCACTCAGTTTTCTTGAAAGTGGTGGGTTTTATCTGAGGTAAACGAAACCTTTTATTTAATATACTTATATTCACTGGTCAGTTCAGATTCACTTTTAAGTTAGTGCTTGTGTATGACTTTATGATTTAAATATAGCTATAATAGTGGTGTTTTTTTTTTATTTCCAGAAGATTTCAGACTATCATTAAAGTAATACAATGTTTGAGGAAAGATCTGTTTACAGGAAACTCGCCTGTTGTGTAGACTAAATACAGAGTGACCGAAATCATGTGTCTCCTGAGATTAATGTTGCACCATTTAACAGCTTTTTGCTTTCGTTTTAGTTTCATTCAAAAATGTGTAGCAACAGGTTGGATTCTCATTGCTAGAAAATGCTAACTTCTAACAGATTTAAGACTGACATTTTTTCACTGACTGATCCATAAATCTCTAAATTGTAAGGTGGCTGTGTAAATAGATAGTAGCTGTCACTATAAGGCTTTCATCAACCTTTGTTGAATGTACTGACCTTCATTTTAAATGAAATCATGGCTAAAAGGTGAGTCTCAGACACATGGTATGTTGAAAATCAGTGCATAGGCAGACTATGACATATCCAAGAGCCCTCCAAAAAAAAAAAAAGAAGAAGCTTAACAATATATATTGTTGGTTCTGTAATTAGGTGAACCATTCTGTCTACCCGAATGAATGTTCTACTTAATCATTCTACATTATTAATTAATTAATGTAAAGGAATAGATTATAATAGCTTTATAATAGCTTATAAAAGCTTTTTATATAAAATCAAAATAAAAACAATAAAATCAAAGTCGATGGACAGCTGCTTCAACTTATTCCAGTTGCGGCCCTGTTCCAGTGGAAGTAGGGAAAGTAACGCCGCCTTGTGGTGAGTTCATTTAGTGATGTTTGGAACTCTGGAATTGGGTTCTTTGCCGGGTTAGCGTGAAATTTTAAAATAGGTTTTACACATTTTCAAGGTTTTATTACATGCATGATGTGCAGACGATCTTAATACAGTTTGAAAAAACTCTTAAATAA